GATACTAGGAGATTAGAGTATAGCTTCCATGAAATTGCGTTTTGCCCCCGCGCAGTAAGACTTGGAGAGTACTTGTAATGTGCGCATACAAGGCCAATAACATTACTCCTAGTATAGACTGTTACAGGGTGGGGGCAGTAGCCGAGCTAGAACTTCACAGGGTAAACTTTGGTCATGGGTGCTCTCTTCAGCTTCCACGGCTGTTTCTTTTTTTGGGGGTGTCGGTTGCTTGTTTCCACTACAGTATGTTGGGGTGCTGGACGTGGTGCAACATATCTCCCAGCAACAAAAAGGACCCTAAAGCCTGAACCCTAACACACTGGGCAAACTTGTGAAAGCCACTCACGTGGAGCCATAGGTAGTAGAAGGGTATACAGGCTCAAGGATTTAGGGTTCTAGTGTTAAGGGCTTAGGGCTTGAGAGCTACCATCCCTCAAACGAACCCACGGCACGGCACCTGAGAATTGGTTTAGGGGTTAGGCTGTAGGGGTCAGGGTTTAGGGTTTGGTAGACGGCTTTCTACTGCAAGGGGGGCAAGAGGCGGTTCGATGTTTTTGGGGGCAGTCTACTCTCTGCTTATGCATTTGCTCCTGCATTAAATACTCTCTCCGATACATCTGAGGCAACGTAAATATGGAACTGCATGTATTTACACACACATATATATGTTTTTGTATAAATGTAAATATGTCTGTGCGAGTTTGTTTGTGTCGATTCATCCACCTATCTGACGGTTTCTTTTCATACACAAGCACACGCCCATCATCCTAGCTAACTATCAAATACCCTCTAGACAGACCTCCCTCAAGACGCAGCCTCATATTTGAGGTGGAATTCCTTGGTCTTGAAGTCTTTGGTGCTTCCAGATGATTGGCGGCCTGAGAGTTTGAAATGCCTCCTGCTTCTTGCCGTCTCTTCAGAACAGGGTTCCTTAAACCCTAAACCATAAGTGGCATGCTGTACAATATAGAAGCTCGGGTAATTACCAACATGGGGGGTTTTCCCAAAATTGGGGGTAGTTTTTTCGGGGTCCCAATAAGGACGATTTTGATCTTTTGGGTTCCCCGGCTTATGGAAACTAACAGATGTTCATCTTATCATCCTTGCGCAGCTTTGACTCCTCAAATAGGCTCCTATATTACCCTGCAAACCCTAAGCCCTAAACCCTAAACCCTGGGGCAGCACGGAACATGCTGCCATAGGTCATGTCGGTTGATTTGGGCAGAGGATTTAGGGTTTGTTTTTAAATCATGGGTGCCTTCGAAAATCTCCTTGATGCAGACATGCCAGTCGCAGCAACGCATGCATGTGGATCTTCGGGATTTCCAGTTGAAACCCAACATGGATTCCAGGCTGGCACTTTAGACATGCAGAATTTTCAGGCACGGCCTACCAGCTTGGCATGTTGGTGATTGCTTTTTCGTGAAGAAGCATTGCATCAGTCAACGTTCCATATGCAGTTCGAAAACCATCAGGGGACGCAGGACTACAGACTCCAACAGCTTCTGTGCACTGAGGCTGATGCTACTCTTCCTGTTGCAGAGGGATTGCAATTGTAACCAAGGCGAATGCAAGTATCCTGGTTGGCAAAGCTGCGCCAGATACTGTTCTTAACGCACCTGTTTGCTCGAGGCGTTGTTACCCTCAAAGGGCCAGTTTCACTCTTTCGCACATGCAGTACTCCAACCTACGGCCATTCTCATCATTCTGCGTTGCCAGGGCTGCGCATACCCTGTCTGCAGGGTAATGTTGCACATTAATTACCAAGGCATTACGCACGCATTGGCGTTTTGATATTCGCTTGTAGGACATTGGCCAAGAGCCGCTCTCCGTGCCTCTTTGCACTCATGTGAAGCCTCTCCGAATTTTGAAGCCACACACCACGCCTAAGCCTCAATTCTCAAACCGAACTAAAGCCCGTGGGGTTTAGGATTTACGGCTTAGGGTTTGCAACCCCTAAACTTGAACCCCAAACTGTGGCTTGCAAGTGCGAATTTCAAGCTAAGGCTTGGCGAGTGCGTGAACTCTTCGACTCCGCAGCTGCTATTTCCGCATTGATGGGCATCGGGTTACAGGTGTTATTCAGGTAAGAGGGCAGAATCCATAAAGCTGTAGGTAATTGGGCATGCGCCCTAAGCCGTAAGATCCGGGTGAATTTTAGCGTGTAGGGTTCCTTACACCCTATACCCCATTCCCTACTAACCCCCGGTAGGGCTCAGGTTTTGTGGCGTAGTTCTTAGATGTCACGTTGTCGAATCCAGGGCTCTAAGTAAGTCTCGGTGGCCTATCGGTTTGAGGATTTGGGGTTTAGGGATTTGGGGTTTGGGGATTTAGGGTTTGGGGATTTAGGGTTTAGGGTCTAGGGATCTAAGATTTATGGATTTAGGGGTCAGGATTTATATGGGGATCTAAGGTTTAGGAATTTAGGGTCTAGGGTTTAGGGTTTCGGGTTCAGGCCGGAGAAGAGGTATTCATTTCAAGGCCTATGAATACCTGAGCCTGCTGGGCTCCCCTTTTCCAGCGCGCCTTGTTTAGGGTTTAAGGATCAGGGTTTTGGGATCAGGGTTTAGGGCTTAGAGATCAGGGTTGCGCTTGAAGCCTTCGACCATTCAGCGCTTTTCTTTCAAGACTTGGAGCAGCTGCAGTTCAAGGGCCTTCATCATATCCCTCAACCCTGAGCCCGGCCTAAAAACCTTACATCCTAAACCTCAGTGGCCTCATAAGCCCACTCGAAGATCCTGAACTCAATGAAGCCTACCTGTAACCCCAATTACCCACAGTGTTTCTGGGTTCTACCTACTAATTCAGGGGTAACTACTACTAAGCTGTAGGTAACTGGGGTCAAAGGTAGGCCTTCAACAGCCCTAAATCCCTAACCCTAAACCAGGGTTTAGGGTTTAGGGTTTAGGGCCTTCATCGCAGAGGTTCCTACTCGAGGCATTGCCGTCGGGCGACGTCATCCCCATTTTGGGTATCCATCGCGAGCTTTTCAGCAGAATCTTATCAGTAGCTTCAGGGCTTGGGGCTTTAGCTTTTAGAGTAGGGTTTAGGGTTATATTGGGAAAGTGGAAAAGAAAATGGAAACTACTATTCAGGGCTTAGGGTTTTTGATGCAAAAAAAGGTATAGTTGCCCTTAAGTAGATAGAATATGGGGCATCTGGGGATCTTGTTGTAATATACCCAATGCCCTGTTCTATCTACTGACGGGGGACTGAAGGGACGGCCTAGGGTTTAGAAATTTTAGGGATATATACTGGGGATATACTGGGATAATGGAAAAGAAAATGGAAACTACCATAATGGGGTTATGTAGTATGTAGGGCCTAGGGTTTAAGGTTTCAACATCTTGGGTTTACAGTAGCGTCTGGGGAGCATGGAGTCCACGTAGGTACAATTCTCTCGGGGTCTAAATGCGGAGTATGCTAAGATCATGATGGCGATCCACTGTGCTACTTCCCCTTTGGTGCCTTAGCGTGCACCTGAACCCCCAAAGGGCTGATACATGATTCCGAAACACTCCTGAAAGCTTGATTTGGATCCAACTGCGTCTATGAGCTAGGATCTGGTGATTATGCTCGGGTTGAGTGTTGCGACCACAAAAAGAAGCTAAGCCCTGAAACCTAAACCCTGAGGGACAGTGGGGGCATGGATCCCTTAACGATCCCTGAACGCCAAACCCTAGCATCTCTTAAGCCTTAAGCCTAAAGCAAATGTTACCCTGATTAATCCTTATAAGCCCATGAACTCCTTTGACCCTAAGCCCTTTTTTTCCCCATAAACCCAGATCCACCTCCCGTGAACCCTAAACCTTAAACTATACCCCTAAACCCTGAACCTTCAATAGTAGTTTCCATGTTCTTTTCCAATATCCCTATATAACCCCTGTATAACCCCAATACTACCCCGATACAACCCATTTTGGCAGCTGTAATTCTCTTCCATTATCCCTATATAGCCCCTGTACAACCCCTATATAATCCTTATATAAGCCCTATATAGCCCATTATGGTAGTTTCCATGTTCTTTTCCATTGTCTTTATATAACCCCAATATACTACAGTAGTTTCCATTTTGATTTCAGGTATCCCTATATAAACCCAATATACTACCTCTCCGCCTTCGGCAACCATCCAACACGCCCCCCAAGGTCGGCGGATAGTAGTTTCAACCCTAAACCCTAAATCCTAAACCCTTAAACCCTAAACCCTATAAACCCCAAACAGACTGGTTCCTTTTGCACCTTCCCTGAAGCAACCGTAAGCCCCTGGACTCCTGAGGTTGGCAATCCGCGGAGCCAAGGAATCCCAAGGTTAAAGTTTAGGGTTTAGAGCTTAGGTTTCAGAGCTTGGGCTTTAGGGTTTAGTTTTTAGGGCTTAGGCTTTAAGGCTTAGGGTTTAGCGTTTATAGAAATAATATTGTAAAGGGTTCAGATCCGGAGTTTTGACGAAGTTTTGGGCGGGTTTTGAGCGAGTTTTTTTGGATTTCAATCAAAACAAGGGCTTTTTTGGTCGTTTTGCAAGCTTGCCTGAAAAGTACGCTTAAAACAGTGGCTTCTGGGGGCCTCGTGGAGCCGATTTGAACTTTTCAGAGCCAGGCCTCCTGGGCCTTTTCTGGGCTTCTGGGCCTGTTTGCAAGGCCAAAAATGGACTCCCTTACTGAGTGTTTATTGCTGACAAATAAAGGGTGGTTGCGGGATTTTTTTTGATGGATTTGAAGCAAAACAGTGCTTTTTTAGCCTTTTTTTGCACAGGGGCCTCCCAAGGGCTTCCAGGGCCGTTCAGGGGCCTGGGGCCTTGCACGGCCTGCAAAGCCTTTCAAGAATTCGAAATTTGCTCCAAAAGCCCAAATACGCTCCCCTTACTGCGTGTTTATTGCTGAGAAATCTGATTTTTTTCTGGTGGGCCTTTCCTCTTCTGACGTAGCTCCATGCGCTTCAAGAATTCGAAATTTGCTCTAAAAGGCCCAAAATAGGCTCCCCTTACTGAGTGTTCATT